TCGTTACAACCGAGGTATGCAGCAAAGCATTTGTGAAGCCACAACACGCACAACCTTGAGGCGGATGGGCTACAACAGCAGAATATTATACAATTCCTTGGTAAGACCCACCTAGAATTTTGTGTGCAGCTTTGGTCACCCTACTTTAAAAAGGACATTGCTACCTTAGAAATAGTTCAGCGTAGGGCTACAAGAATGATTCCTGGTCCTAGAGGAATGTCTTATGAGGAGAGGTTAGCTGAGTTGAATCTGTTCAGCCTCAACTAAAGGAGACTAAGTAGGGACATGATACAGGTATATAAGATTCTAACAGTTCTGGATGCTGTTCAACCAAATTCAACCAAAGTAATCCGGGCAGCTGAACGCTGCTGCAGGTTAGCTCTCCCCTCCATGCAGGACATTTACATCAGGAGATGTAAGACCAGGGCAGCTAGGATTATTAAGGACTTGTCTCACCTCAATAACAGACTGTTCAAACTTCTGCATTTAGGCAGAAGTTTCTGTGTCATTATGGCCAAGATGGAGAGACTCGGGAGGAGTTTCTATCCCCAGGCGAATCGACGACTCAACCAAGACATGCCACTCTCCCAGTCATAGTGTTATGGTTATCAGTTCACCTTACACTGCTGTGCGGACACTGCACACTGCACTTTAAACTGGCTATAAGCATTTCTTGCACAGTAATTCATCCTGTAATTTGTATATACACTCAAGATTGTAAATTCATGGGTTATTTTTCTTTTTTCTGTTTACACTATCTATAATTTATTTACAGTTTATTTTACAATTTCTTTTCTAGTTTCTTTGTTGTTTGCACAAAGTATGAGCGGTTCAGGATACATTTCACTGCGTGTTGTACCTGTATAACTATACATGTGACAAATATAAAGAATCTTAAATCTTGAAATAGTTACTACAATATTAGTTCAAATACAAAAACTTGTGGTCATAGGTGGAAATTAGTGGGAGAACATTTTAACCTTGATTTAAAAAAGCACCTCTTTATACAGCATGTAGTTAGACTATGGAATAGTCTTCCCGTTAGTGTAGTGCAAACTAAAATCTTGGGTTCCTTTAAATCAGAGCTAGATAAGATTTTAACAACTAGCTTCCCAAACGAGCTAGATGGGCCAAATGACCTCCTGATGTTTGGAAATTTCTTATGTTTTAGTTGCTGCACCTGTCAAAATATCATATACCAAATCAGGCCAGCAGATGCCATTGTGGTTAACTCAGATTTTTTACTTGAAATCTGTTGTGTTGCTGTGGTACCTTAATTAAGCTGATGAACACCCAAGAGAAAACATTAGTTAAACAGTATTATGGCAAGAAAAATAATTAAAGAATGGCATTTAAATGTCTTCATATCTCTCCACTAATCAGTAGCCTCTCTGAGACAGGTCCAGTCTTAGGGACATCAGTTTTGTCAGACAGAGAGCACAAACTCAGCAATAAGTAAAACAATGTAAATATTAGAATAATATATAAATAACTAAACATTTAGAATTCAAGTTTGGTGTGAACATTGGTAGGTACTAAATAATTCCTGATCCCCCCACCCTCACAATATTGGTAGAGACATGTCCCTACCGTCCAAAACCAAATTCACATCCTTGTAAAAAATGTAAGTCTTAAGTTATAATCTGTGCTGTGATTCAGAGGAATATGTGTACTAAGTCAAAGTATCTTTTATTGTCAGCTTCAGTTATATGATACATGTGGTCTTACACTCAGGTGAAGTATTATTCTCCTTGGTCATAGTGCAAATGAAAAAGTAAACAATATCAACATTTGAAAACACGATCAGTTCTAATTGGTGGGGAAAAATTGTGCAAATTGGCATGGAAGCAGAATGTGCAATAAATAAATAGGTGTAGCTTCAGAGTAATGAGTCTAGATTTATTAGTCCTAGAGAACTAAGTGTGAAAATGACATGAAACAAAACTGCAAGTTTTAAACAAGCAGGAAGAGCTCCTCTGCATCTCCAGGCACTGGTGCAAAAGGAGGCCACTCTGGAGCTCAAACTGGCCAAGAGGATGAACTGGAAGCGGATGAATGGTTGAAGGCATGATGCAGTTGAGGTGGATGAAATGTGCTTGTAGCACCTTCAGTCTGGTTTGAACGCTATTTAGGGGAAGGGTCTCTGGGGCTCTGCTGGAGATGGGAGGTAGGGAACTCTACAGTGGTCCTGCTCTATCCCTTGCATCACTCTAAAAGCTCCATTGGAGGAGACGTGCTGAGACAAGGTGAAGAAAGCCACGAATGACCAGAAGCTGTGGCCATCCAGTATCCCCAATCTGGAATGTGGACAGTGTTTACCAGGCCGTCAGTCTCCTACCTGTTCATGTAACTGTTCAGCGCGTGGCTCAGTGGGCTAAGCCTGTGTGCTTGTAATCACAAGGTCGCCGGTTCAAACCCAGCCTCAGCATGTCTGCGGGTCCTTGAGCAAGGCCCTTAACCCGCAGCTCTCTGGGCGCCCCAACAGGTGGCTGCCTTTTGCAGACAGCTTGTTCTACGAAGTGCAAGTTGATGGAGGCGTAAAAAGAATTTCCCCATGAGGGACAATAAAGGTTAAATTAATTAATTATTAAAACACGAACCTTTGTTTAAACTATGACTTTTGTTAACTGTGCTCTTTAACTTGATTTCGTCTGTCAGACAGATTGTTGTTCTGGGCCTGAATTTATGGCCCTTTTTAACTGGAGTGCCACCCTCCACCCAAATACTTTACTGTGTTTGCGTACATTTGCGTGACACTTGAACACTTGAGCCCTTTGTTCAGCCCTTTGTTGCAGAATTACATAAATTGTGCTCTTGTAAAAACTGCAGAATCATAAAGGGCCGCAATATTATCGGAATTGCATCATGCATGTTCTCCTAAATCTTTTGTATGTGGTGAGTATGGCTACTGTACTGTGATTTGGCATATGACCAACCTTTAAAGAGGGTTTGCCCTTCTTAAGGCTCCCTTATGTGAAATAAAATGGAAAATTTCACCACCCTGCCTGAATGTGCTCCTCCTCTTTACTTTCTTTTACCCAGGTAAGGATAAGCTGACCTGTGAATAGTTCCATTATAGTTGCCATGGCAGCATCAGTACCTCCCATTTGATAAAAGTCACAGGACCTCTTCAAGTTTGATTGTAAAAAATACATGTTTCAGCTATTCAGGTATTGGAGCGTAGGGTTTAGTAAGAAGTCTTATCGCTGGGCGAATCGTAGAAATTGTGAAAATTGTGGCTTGCAATCTATCATGGTTGTGCCATATCTCTATGTGGCTGTCTTGGCCTTATCACATTTCTGCTTCTAATTTTTGGAGAAATGTATCCTTTTATAATCAATGACTCTCAGCCAGTGTCAGATATGCCCTTCTGGACTCATGTTAACCTTCTTGCCATATGTACCCTTCCTTTTTGACAGGGGGAGACCTAAACACCCCTGCTGAAACATGAGCAGATGGAAGTTTGAGGAATCCCACGACACCTATCCCAATACACGCACTTAGAATGTGGCCATTCTGAAAGCTCCTGTTCAGCTCGACCTCAAGACAAACCTTTGACAGGATAAAGATGTGGGTCGTGCTCTCCTTCACGCTTCCATGGACTCTTCAAGTTAAACCTGGTGGCGGGAAAGACCTCAAAACCACATGAGCGGTGCACAGCTAAGAAGGGGTACAGTACAAATCAAATATCAGGATCCTGGTGCTGTTCTTACTGCATTAACTTGGGTTTCTATCTGTTTTTCAGCAGCATGCTGTTGGGTGCTATATGTTACCGACTGGGTGATATGAATAAGAATTCCTGTGTGCTGTTGTACAAAAGGCAAATAGAAGAATCTTGAATCTTGTATGACTTGGCATGAGCCTTCAGAGGCTACGTCCGAGCATCATTACAGCCAACTAACTTAGTTCCGGAGGTCAGGTCTAACTCTCTCCCTGAGTCTCAGCTCAGCACTTACAGGAGTCAGTGCTCTTTCTGTGTAGTAGATAGATATATAAAAAAATTACTCTGTGGACCATTGGCCACTATCCATAACACGCATATCAGTGCAGGGTATAGAAAGCACACTGTCATGTCAGTGGAATGAATAGAAATGTAAGCAGTAAGACACCAGCTGAGAGCACCATCTTAATTTGCCAGTACCTGGCTGCGACCACGGCGTCGATCCCGACCACAAACACGAGACCACCAAGTGCCAGGCAGCGTCAGTGAGTGGTGGCAAAGGAAAGGCGGCCATTAATGATTAACTCTTGGAGCCAGGGCCCTTTGTGTTTGCTGGGTGCCAAGGCTATCTGGCCATCACATGACACGTCGTTTTCTCTTGGGCAGATTGAGGAAAGCCGGTGAGCAAACACAGGTGCTCCGGAGTCAGCGGCGCTGTCAAGGACGACTGCAAACAAGAACAGCGATGGCCGGCCCCGCCTCCCGGCTCCAGCAAGTTCCGCCACCCCATAATCCCACCCACCACTTTTCCAGACCTGTTTTCTTTTTATACTGCTTATGGTTATTAATAACTAAAGATAACAGCGTGTTTTTCTCCAAACAGCACATTGTAATGACCAAATTAAAATAAACTGGGTTATTATTTCTTTTTTTATGACCACCTCACCCAAAATATTAACCAAGAACTCACAGAGCAAGCCACTTCAATAAATGCTAAATTTCTGTATGTATGAATGCGTGTGTGTGGGCTTGTGTGTGTGTATAACAGAAGATGCTTTAAGTGTAATTTTCTAAAACTTACAGGGTAAATAGAGGTCAAATTAGCCATTGCCAGGGAGACGCTGGTCACATGCCATACCAAATGATGGCCGAAACCCACCTGAGAAGATCGGGCACGTGGGAGCAGCCAGCTGCTGACAGAAACGTGGGCTTTCCAGTGCCCACTATTGCAGGGAAGCGAAGAGAGGGAATGCTGTCGGCACCATGGGTAGCCCCACATTGGCACGACGAGGGGCAGGATGGCAGGTCTGCATGAAGTGGGGGGGGCAGAAGGGCAGAAATGAGGAGACGTCTCCCACCACAGAAGCTGAAGAAACAGAGAGAACCCTACATATCAATCTCACAGGCTGTGGAAATATACAATCAGGATAACATATACTTTATTGATCCCAGGGGGAATATCCTTACATATACTCGTATATGAAAGAGTTCTTAAGACCGTATGGCAAATCAAATTTTGAAGGTGCATCCAGGGGAGAAGGGGAGCTGACATGGAGCAACACAGACTCCAGCAGCAAGGACAGGTGACTGCTCTGTCAGCCCTGAGTGATACTCAGAGGACCCTGGTCTGGAGCAGGGCTGGGATGATGCACAAGATGAGAGGGGAGATAAGAGAGAAGTGCTGAATGAGAAAGACTGGCTAAATGGGGGGGGGGGCTGGATCTCAGCCAGCACTGATAAAAGTGACCAGACAGAGGCCATAGGTGGGGAAACAAAGGGAGGGTCAGACAGAAAATGATGAGTGGCATCGGTGTTGACTTCCTGACCCTCTACTGCAAATAAGGACAGATAAGAACTGTGGTTTTGGGTTTTTGGGGATACTACCCATGACCTGCCCCCAGTGCCCCCCCATGTCTGCTCTGATGCTAACAGAAGGTAGGCAAGTCAGGCTTCTCCTATAAACAAACGTGGAATTGTGAGGTTTGTTTAGATGCTCCCGAAAAGAATCTTTATGAAATGCTGATAGCGGCCTAGTAGGTCCCTGGGGGGCTGATCCCGGTAATACAACAAACCCAACCAAATAACTAAGAAATCAAGGCTTCTCAGATTGGGACACCACCTTTGGATCAGAGACACCTTTAGGTTAGTCATGTGTGGTCACATTTTGAGATGCACCAGGTGTGAAATAGCCTCACATGCCTGTTATAAATTAGCTAGAAATATGGATTCCAGCTTTTGCTGTTTATGTAAATCGGACATTTCCGCATTGTCAAGATTAATGTTGTCATGCCCCACATTGTTTGAATGTTATGTTACCCTTTGTATGGTTAGTGTTTATTAATGCTTTGTATTGTTTGTCAGTTTTGCAACTTCAACGGCTCATGCTGGTCAGGGTCACAGGGAATATTACAAATGACATTTTCAAATGAAGGAGACATGGTGGTTCAATGCGTATCCCATCTCCACTCTGTGTATGTAGAGTCTGCATGTTCTCCCTGTGTCTTGTGGAGTCTTCATAGGTGTGTCTAAGTTGTGTATGCATAATTGTGTGTCCTACAATGGACTGGCCTCCCGTCCAGTATGTATATATATTTTTTTCAATATTCCTGATGTAATTGCAATGGGCAAAATGTGTAAAATTATACTTTCAAAGCTGTTTATTCTGTCATTACCTAAGCAGTAATGAAAAGAATTATATGAAAAATCTATAACACCTTATTTATACTATATATTTTACATAACACTCCAACTGCTGACATGCCAGAGCACTGTGATTTATCACAAATGACTCTGTACCATGTCATTGGGAGCTGCGAATTCAGTACACAGATATAAACCGCTGTGGTTCTCTTGCTCCATTACAACACCTCTTCATGGCATTGGTACACTCCGGAGGACGGGGAAAGTTGTAAATCCTGGCTATCATGTGGGCTGATGGTGCCGGATGTGTTCTTCAATACTGTCACTTTGGTTGGAATGAGGCTGGTTTTAACTGCCTTCTTCCATTCAAGGCCTCACAAATTGTCCTTCTCCTGATCAGAAGACCAGTAGGTGAGGTATGTTTATGACCAGGCCATGTACCGAAGTGCCTCCCTTTCTAAACAAGCCCCCCCCCCACCACACACACTGCTCTGAATAGCCCTGTTAAACCCCTGCTGAAAGAGTCTACAAAAAAAAACACTGCTGCTCATAGAGAGAAAGAAAAACACACATGGGTAGCTGGACACGTATGTAGACACCTACCCGCTCGGCCATAAATAATGGGCAGCTAACCAGACAACAGGACACCTCTTGAGGCAAGAATCTTGATGAAAAAATCAAACAGTATCAAGCTGTAAAAGTCAACAGGAACCACACTTTGTGGGTGAGGACCCTACAGATAGGCGTAAACTCAGCATATGCAAAACACAAGGGCTGTTTAGACCTGTCAGTGCTGGAGGATCGGGCTCCAGGCTAACAAAGAGGCATATCCCTAACGAAGTGACCACACATGCTGAGTAACTCTGTATGTTCCTGCTGTGCCAAAAATTAATTAATCGCACAGTTTTCTGTGATAAATCGCAATTGATCGCACCTAATACCCACATTTATGTAGAATTACCACAAAGGGGAGTACATGGGGCATTGTTACGAATCCCACTACCAAATTATCCATCCATCCATCCATTTTCTCCCGCTTATCCGAGGTCGGGTCGCGGGGGCAGCAGTCTCAGCAGGGAAACCCAGACGTCCCTCTCCCCGGCCACTTCATCCAGCTCCTCTGGGGGAATCCCGAGGCGAGGTAGCCTCCCTTCGCCTTCGGGTGGGGGGACGGGTTCTGACTATTGTTTGCGCTTATGCGCCGAGCGGCAGTTCAGAGTACCCACCCTTTTTAGAGTCTCTGGAAGGGGTATTGGAGAGCACTCCTTCTGGGGACTCTCTTGTTCTGCTGGGGGACTTCAATGCTCATGTGGGCAATGACAGTGAGACCTGGAGTGGCGTGATTGGGAGGAACGGCCCCCCCGACAGACCGGGGAGGTGGTCCCCCTCTTTAAGAAGGGGAACCAGAGGGTGTGCTCTAACTATAGGGGGATCACACTCCTCAGCCTCCCTGGTAAGGTCTATTCAGGGGTTCTGGAGAGGAGGGTCCGCCGGATTGTCGAACCTCGGATTCAGGAGGAGCAGTGACCCCCCGGCCATGGAACAGTGGACCAGCTCTATACTCTCCGCAAGGTTCTGGAGGGTTCATGGGAGTTTGCCCAACCAGTCTACATGTGTTTTGTGGACTTGGAGAAGGCATTCGACCGTGTCCCTCGGGGAGTCCTGTGGGGGGTGCTCCGGGAGTATGGGGTGCCGGGCCTCCTTTTAAGGGCTGTTCGGTCCCTGTATGACCGGTGCCAGAGTCTGGTCCGCATGGGCGGCAATAAGTCGGACTTGTTTCCGGTGAGGCCCATATGAGATCATAAGGGGTCTTTTTTTATAATTTGTAGTTTGAAGGCAGACTCGAATTACATTTCAACTTCATTGTGCAAACTGTCAACTTTAATCAATCAGGGTTAATCAGTTTTATGTTACTATTTCTTTCTGTAATAAACAAAAGTATTTCATCAAATCCAAGCCAATAGTAAACATTACAAAACTAACAACAAATTGAGCAAAAATATGCATATTGTCATAGAAATTGAAAAACTGAGGAGATTTTAAAAATGTTTATGTATTTATGCTCATAGAGAGAAAGAAAAACACACATAGGTAGCTGGTCACTAATGTAGACACCTACCCGCTCAGCCATAAATATACTGGTTTTGGCTACCAATTTGGGGAAAATGGTTTTAAAGAAAATCAGATCGGAGCACAAATCACATAATTTTGATATACCTAAAAAGTTAAGGTAATGTCATTTGCCCTACACATTTGCTCTTTTTTTAAAAAAAAAAAATCAGAAGTTTGTGAGAATGACCCATATTTTTATATTTTATATTTCGTTTGAAGAAGGCTGGATGAACAGGTGGCAACAAGAAAAGAGAGGGATTGTATTATAAATAGGGATGTTCAATTATTATTTTTTAATCACATACCTTAGTGATTAATGCTGTATACCACATGTACAAATAACACACACAGGCAGTGAACAGGCAGATCAACACACTATTTATTCCCAACCATGCAAATATTTTATAGCAAATAACTATAAAAGGGGTCTGACAACCTCACACCTCAGGGAGCTGGGTTTGAGTCCCCACCAGGGTTCCATGTGTGTGGAGTTTGCTTGTTCTCTCTGTATCATTGTGGGGTTTTCCCTGGGTACTCCAGTTTCTCCTGACAGTCCAAAACCATGCTGAGGCTGATTAGTTGTCAAATTGCCTGTAGGTGTGCTTGTGTGAGTGTCCCCTGCGATGGGTTGGCACCCCATTCTACATTGTTCCCCACCTTGCACCCGTAGCCTCCAGGACAGGCTCCGGACCCCCAGCGACCCTGAACAGTATAAGTAGGTTCTGAAAATGAATGGATGGGCAGTAAAATTAATGCAACAGGTTAACATGATAAATTTCCCAGCCCTAATGAAAATAATTAATTGCTTTGCTATTATGAGACATATTATTTAAATATCCAGCAATTGAGATTAGAATGCTAAATAATGATCCTTTATTTGCCATTTGCACAAGTACAGGTAAACTATAACATACAGATGAGAGAAAGCTTGGGTAAGGGGGGTGTTACAGCACAAGGTCAGCCACCACACAGCTGGGAGCTGGGGGTTAAAGGCATTGCTCAAGGGCCCACAGACATGTGACTATTCTGCCACGGCTGGGGCTCATACTCGCAATCTTCTGAGCAATGGCAGAAAGGCTGTGCCTACTGAGCCACTTGCCATGACCAGGCAAGTAAGATTACAATGCTCACTCATTCCAGAGACAGTCTTCTTTGTTCCTGTTTTACATTAATTTAAAGAAATATGTCTGCTAAATAAAGTATTTTATGTAATATTCAATCTCAATACATTTGGACTTTTTCTTACCATTAATGTGTTTTATTAAATAAAAAAGATTCTAAGTAGTTTTGGTGTACATATAAAAAGAGCATTTGTTTTTTTCAAGCAGGTTTGAAACAGCACTTTACAGAGAGTACCTGTCAAACACTGTTAGCACATAGCAAATTCTCTCACTTTCTAAATGATGACTCAGTGGGCTGGAGGGGGGCACAGCATGTACCTGTACCACTTCACCACCCACCTGTTGCCCGACGACCTGTGTGGGCTGGATAGAGTGGGTGGGGCAAAGAGTCAGCCCAGAGGGGATGCTAGAAGGTTCACCCGGGAAAGGTGCCCATGAAGCCCAAGCTTGGCTGGCCTCATCTCGGCAGTTATGGGCGGACAAGAGCAGAGGACTGATGGCAATTCACCTGGAGCAGGTTCACATTCAGGACCATGCCTCTCCTTTGTTTTCTTTGTGCATTCATGACCGACATTTCTAAAGCTCTTTCTGGCAAGTGGCTACAGTAAGGTTACTGCAAAGAGTTTGGCACTTTTGGAAGACAGTTTGACTCACTGTTGCATGAGACGGCATTCTTACTCAGAATCTTTGATTGTATGAACAAAATAATAATTTGTTGAATGAGTGCATCCATCTGTCACCACAGGAAGGTTGCCTGTAGCATATTATACTTACTGAGTAATACCATTTCCTGCTTTGCGTCAACGTGTGTTGCAAACATTTGGTTCATACATTAACCATTTTGGTTTTATTCTACCCAAATTGCACAGTTGTAAACTACATACCTTTAGAGCGTGGGTGAAAACCAAAAACAGAGAGAACATACAAACTGCATGCACACACAGCCAGGACAGGGTGCCTGATCCACTGCAGACGTGAGAAATCCAGGTCTCCACTTACCTTGTCTAATGCCACAAAGTGGTACTACAGCTTGATTTCACACATGGATGGAGACCTGATTGGCCTCTGATTAGAAACATTTACATTGACTAATAGAGTTGGCTAGGTCACATGACCTGGCATGGGTTTGATGGATTTTTCCAGAAGACTGATCGGAAAAACATAAGAGGACTCAAACATTCACTTTTCTCTTCTTGGCAACTATCAGCAAACTTCCTGATATTCAGGCCGGGTAAACAGTCAGCCTACTCTGTGTGCGATCCATAAACCGATCAGTGAACATTTGGAAAGATTAACAAACATGGCGGCCTGTTGTATCGTTCCCTCAAAATGTTTATAAAACTTTTCTTATTCATCCATCCGCCTGTGCTGTCTCACTGGTGTCACTTTGCGGGAGCCTTAGCGAAACACACAGTTGTCCATGTAAACAGCCCGTGCTGAAAACTAGCCATGTCTATTGGCTTACAAACGTCCTCTGATGTTTTCTTTCCTCCTGAGTTTGTTCTGGAGACTAATCAGGACCCGATAAAGCCCACGGCAAATACGCAGGAGATGGCCATCCACATGTCGAGGTTTGCACAGTCCCTGCGGGTGTACGTGCGGGTGGAGTACTCGAAGATGACGGACTCAAGCTGGGTAAAGGACAGGGGGAGGTTACTCTGAGGAGAGCCCAAAGACATGAGAGAAGGAGAGACAAAGAAATAAGAACCAGTCATATGAGTAGATAAAAGGGTAAGCAGGAAGACAAGATGAAGAAGAATTGTGAAAGATGACAGTGACAGGG